TTCCTATCTCATTGTAAGACTCTCATTGATAACTGTGACCCTGAACAAGCAAAGCCATTTCTGCTGCTTTTAAAATCCACAGCTCCTTGTTTGTAAGATACTGAAACCCAGACCTCAGGTGTCACAAGAAGGAACATGTCAGTGAAAGCCCACCCAGTCATCTCTTGAGTAACTTCAGATGTGGCTTCACTTCTCTGGCCCTAATGTCTTCATCTGTGAAAAGCAGTTAAGAGGAGCCAGTGTTGTGGTGTAGCAGGTAAAGCTGTGGCCCGTAGTGCTGGCATCACATATAGGCACTGGTTCAAGTCTCGGCTTTTCCACTTCCAGTCCAGCTCTCTGCTATGGCATTGGAAGGCAGTAGAAGATGGTCCAAGTCCTTGCACCCCTGTACATGCATGGCAGGGAGACCCGGAAGAAGCTCCTGGCTCCTGGCTTCAGATTGGCATAGCTCTAGCCATTGTGGGGATCTGGGGAGTGAACCAGTGGATGGAAGACCTCTCTCTCTCTCTCTGCCTTTGTATCTCTGTAACTCTGCCTTTCAAATAAATAAATAAATAAGTCTTAAAATAAGAATCGTGCCTAACTCATAGGAATTATAAGATATAAGACGTCAGGAAATGTTATCAATTAGGAATACACTTCCCACAAATCTTCATAGAGGTCCTCCCCATGGAGTCAGGGGTCTTCTATAAACCAAAGCCCCTGTGCTACTGGAGACAAGAACGTAAGTCAACCCTCAGCTTGAATTCTGAAACACTTGTAACAGAGACAAAATGAAGTCCTTAGGACTCTTCCTTTTGTGACTGCAGTATTTGCTTCCAGGTCTCATGTTAGGCCAAGCTGAGGGACAAGGCTCATGTGGACCCACCACAGAGGGGCCATTCTTTAAGGCCTCTGCCACCCTGTGGTTGTTACCTGGAAACTGGCTAATCTGAGGTAGAGGGTCTTGAAAACTAAAGGTGACTGCTGGCTACCAGCAACTTGAAACTGGCTTGAGCTAACTTGGGAAACAAGAGGGAGGTCTTTGGGTTTATGGGATCAGGAATAAGGTGGCTCAAAGGCCATTTTCTGTGCACACACACGCACACCCTGAAATGGTTATCTGTAAAATTTACCTGAGTTTTTCTTCTTCATTCCTCAAGAGGCTTAAGATAAACTGAGTCCCTCTTGCATGTGTTGCATGTCCAGCCTCCTTCAAGGGGAGTCTTCCTCCTGTGATGGCAACACTCCCCGAGTTCGGGGCAGCAGATCCTCTGGGGAGGCAGACTCAGTGAAAGTGAGCTTTGGATATGTCAGCCCAGGATGAGCTTCTTAGAGTCACTGATGTTCAGAGATGAGGGCCCTAAAGAGGAGGTTTGTTCCACTTATTTCAGTTGTCAAATGCAGAAAACCAGGCATGGGAAACGGCATGGACCTGTGGGGTCCCCCAGCTGCCATGTGCAGGACTTGGACCCATCCTCATCACTCCACTGAAGAACTTTTTCTTTATGCCCTTGCTGCTGCTCTCAGTAAGCAAAACGTTTCCAGAAGATCCCATTACCCTCTTCTTGATGAACATGACAACAAAGGGAGGAGCAGTGATTTTTTGCTATGTGATCAGCTGGTTCTGGAAAGTCTTTTTCTAATTATTGTTTTTCAATGATCTGATTCCCTGAGCCAAAATGAGTACATATAGTAAGACTGAGACCCCTGGACTATGACCTCTGAAGGTCATAGTCACTTTGCAAAATGAGTTTGTCCCTGAGAAAATACAGATCCATCTCCTATTGGTAGTGGAGAAGGCTTTGCAACTATCAGAATTTTGCAAACTTTGGGTCTGAGAATAACCAACATAAGACTTTTTGTAGGTTTGTTATATGTTATTTAGTTTAATTATTGGTCTTAGACTGAGATTCTGAGGCAGTAAACATTCTAGGCCTCAGTTTCCTCGTATTTAGAAAGAACACACCATCAACATATCATTGTTTGTATGTTTATTAAATGTGCTGATATAAGGTGTATACCTAGCTCAGGCCTTGGCAGAGCTGGGAGGGGCCCGGTGAAGTTATTTCTCACGCTTTGCCTTGAGTGTGGACCTGCCTCTCTTGATGGATATGTTACTACTGAATACTTCATGGAAGTCCTGATCCTTCTGAGTCCAATCTGTGACACAAACCCTACAATCCCTACTTCACAGGCCCGGAGTCAAAGGAGGGTTAACAGGAGACCTTAAAGAAGCACCTGTTGTCCAGAACCTCAGAAAAGGCCTAAGGAAAATGATACTTAACCTGGTGACATTAGATAAGATGACTACTCTGTAGTACTGACAGCCCATAATACACCAAGGATAGCTTGAGAGAATAAAATCCTGCATCTCAAGTTTTTAAAAAAATTAAATCAGAATATAGATAAGTCGAATTCAGTTCACCCAAAATGAGCAGTTGTGTTCACTCCATTCTGTTTAAAGTCAGAGAGTAGAACTTTGACAGCTACAAGGAAGCTGCCTCAGAGCAAGAATTTCAAAACACACTTATTTGATATCAGGGTATTTGCATGGCCTGTTTCATGAGGCAGGATCTGCTCTGAACACAGACAATCCTCATCCTCTCCAGAATTCAGAGTTCGCAGAACTGATGATGTTCGGTTCTGGAACTGTATATTCTGTTGTCTGTTTAATATGCACACAGAACGCATTTGCCAGGCAGTAAGCGAGGTGGCATACCACACATTATGTCTCAAATAGAAATAGGACATCTTTAATTGGAAGAGTTGAAGCTTCAGTAAAGTCATCAGAGGTTGTCAGTGTGGGATGGGGGTGTGGTCTGTTGGTTCTTCCATTTTCTGGTGTGTTCATTCACTGATGTGGATGAATCTCTTTGGCTTTCCCCAGAGGAGTCATGCTTAATTAGTTTTCTTCTTGTGTTCTATCAAAACCAGGTGTCTGGCAAGCAAGTCGTACAGAAAGAGGCAGCTCACAGTTCTTGGACACAAACCCAGCCCCCATAGGCAGGTAGAAAGTCTTCAGGGCTGGTAAAATATGTAGGCAGCAAGTAGCATGTCAACTCAAACAAGGAGAGATCTACCCAATTCAGCTTGCCATTATAAAGGTGAATTGTCTGAATCACAGAGGGGAGAGTGGTATTAACCTTAGGGCCAGAAGGAGGGCAGTTCCTGGAGAGCAACTGGGGAACATAAATCTCTACCAGCTGAGAGCAGAAAGATACTTAATAGAAGTGTAATTGAAGGATTTTTTTCCCTTCTTCTTTCAACTTAGTTTGGCTAGCTTCAATGGGAATTATTTTACTCCCACTCCAGGGCAGGGCCAGCTGCCTATGGACGTGATTGAAGGACCATCCGGTGACTGGCTGCCTGTGCCGGTATCAGGCCGATTCTCTGTTGCATTCTGAAATTCCCAGCACCAGAGTTGTCTTGGAGGTCACGGTGGTAGTGGCCCCAGAAGCAGCTGCTGAAAAGCACAAATGCTAATTGGGAGTGAGTACCCATTAACACCGGCACACAGATTAATTTATCAATTTCACTCTGACCCTTCTGAGAGAAAGAACTTCGGAATCTTGAGCCAGTTAAACCAACAAGGAACTTTAGAAAACATATGTTCTAGATTTTATATTTAACCAAAGTGGTTAACTGACTTACTCAAGGTCATCAGCAGATCAGTGGCAGAGCTGGAGCTGGAGCCTGGTTTTTCTCAGCAGCTGTTTCTGGGATTGTCAGAGACTGAACCCTAGGTGTACATAGCCAAGCCTGAACCCCGGCTGACTTCCCCGTACTCCCTGTCCTTCACGCCGGGTTCTCTTTTTCACAGCCCCACAGCTTAGGGGAGAGGAATAAGTAAGAGGTGGCTGGATGGCTGACATTTCAGCACAACTTTGTTAATACCTCAGTGCACTTTGAGAGCCTGATGCACACAAGGTGATTCATCCACCTGGGGCAAGGGACAATGAGAAAGCAAGGGAAAGGAGACAGAGTGGCCTGTGTACCCTGTACATGGGACAACCATGGGACGATTGCCCCTCTTCCAGGCCAGCTCTCTGCTGTGGCCTGGGAGTGCAGTGGAGGATGGCCCAAGTGCTTCAGCCCTGCACCTGTATGAGAGACCAGGAAAAGCACCTGGCTCCTGGCTTCAGATCAGCGCAGTGCACCAGCCGCAACGGGCATTGGAGGGTGAACCAACAGTAAAGGAAGACCTTTCTCTCTGGTCTCTCTCTCTCTCACTGTCCACTCTGCCTGTCAAAAAAAAAAAAAAAGAACACGGGAGTGACTTTCCCCATGGAAGCCCACAAAAAGCTCATCAGTGTCCTAGGGCATGGGCTGTTCCTGTTTCCTCCTCTCTCCCTCTCCCTACCTAGTGACTGTGCCCAGTCCTTCCCCAAGAGAGAATAAAGCCTCATTAATAACCATGGTGTTGGCCCACTTTTCTGGAGGGAAGGCAGAAGGTGAAATTGTAGGGCTGACAAAGCAGGGCTATGAGCAAAGCTTGAGTTCCCTTTGGCCTTTCTTTGCTCAGGGCAGGACCTCACTAGGGTTTCTCCTGAGCACCAGCTATGTAAGATAATACATTTTGCTACTAGTTCCTACACCAAACTGGAGAGGGAGATGTTACCATCCCCAGTGCACAGAGGAGGAAATGTGGGGCTAGCGAGGTTCGTTTTCTTACCTGTTGTCACCTGTTACTTGTCGGAGCCAGACTTAGATTCAGATCCATCTGATTGCACAGACAGGCCCAAGCCACCTGAGCTCAGACCCTCTCCCTATCACTGGGTAGCTTCACAGGCTGCCAAACTGTTCACCATGCAACGTGTTAGCTCTTTACACCCCCTTCTATAAAGACACCTCCCATAACGCCAGTGACAGAAATGACCCGTTTTCCTCCCTCTTCACTGCTCCAGAGCCCAGCCTTCTGTGGAATTGACAACAGGGTGAAGGCTGTGAAGGCATTGAAGGCCAGACTCCCAGTGCGTTGGGAGACAGTTTGTTCCACTGACCCTCGGCTGTCATTGCAGGTCTGGAGTGCAGCTTCGACTTCCCCTGTGAGCTGGAGTATTCGCCTCCACTGCACGACCTGAGGAACCAGAGCTGGTCGTGGCGCCGTGTCCCCTCTGAGGAGGCCTCCCAGATGGACTTTCTGGATGGACCCGAGGCAGAGCGCTCTAAGGAGAGGCCCAGAGGTAAGGGTAGAGGCCATCGGACAGTGTCCTGGATGGGCCACGGCTGGGCTGGAATGCCTATTTCTGTATGAAATGATGAGACATTTCCATCCTTGCACTGTCTTGTTTGCTTGAAGCCTAATTTCAGTGTCCATCCTCTCTGTGGCTTTTGGGGCCATGCAAAGAAGGAGAAGATGCAAGTCCAAGTTGAAGGTCAATCTAACAGTTTACTCTTTTACAAGTTGCAGAAATAGGATTTCATGACTCTCTTCCATGAAGAATTCTCAGAGTTAGATGTAGGAGAAAGTGCTGACCTGGTTGTCGATGCAGACTGGGGTTGCCACGTTGAATATGAGACACTAAGTTAAATTTGAATTTTAGATAAACAACAAACGATGTCTTCTAGTATATGTATGTCTCATGCATTAGTTGGAACATACTTATACTCACAGATTCTAATGTAATTGGATGTCTTATATTTTTATTTGCTGAATCTGGCTTTCTGAATTTCTAAGGTGTTGTAAGAGTTGGCCTGTTTGTTTCAGAGCTATTCATGAATATTTAGTCTGCATGTTTGCTTTGCATGCTGTTTCTCACAGTCCTGAGCTGTTTATGAATATCCCCTTCTGAATTATCAGGGCCTGGAAAAGGGAGGCTCTGAACAAATCATGGGTATTTGTTAAATATCTGCAATTTCTAAACAGAGATGTGGAAATACTAGCCTTCAGGTCTCCCCAAGCCAGCCTTAGGACTACCAATTCCTCATGTCCAGAAAACTCCACTGACCCAGGATTGGCAGCCTGTTTATAGGTTTTGTGAAGAAGTAATAATTGAAATGGTGCTGTGTGGACAGGGCACTCAGAGTGATCTTGTCACCTACCCTGTCTCACTAGGTTTGAATTTTGCAAGGGAGACAGGGTAGATGAACAAGCTAGGACTCAGAGTGGGAACGAGTGACCCAAGATCAAACAGCTTGTACTGGTGGGGGCAAGTCTAGATGCCTGTAGTGACAAGTCCTAGACAAGGACATCGTCTACCACATCAGTGTTTCTATCTCTGGAGCAGATCTATTACCAGAGCCTGCTTTGTGGCCAAGTTCTCGAAGGTTTCATCTCAGGCTTATCCAACCAGGGAGTCTAACAGAGACAGGACTCAGGTTTAGCTGATGGGGGAGGTTGGAAATGGTGCAAAAATAACTAATGCTTTCAGGCTTGTATTATACATAAACCTTGAACTCTGTCACAGCAATAGAACTGCGAGACACTTTCCCTTTCTACATTCCTGGGCTGACCTTTTCTGTTTTTATGACTCTCAGGAGATTGCTTGAACTTGATTTATATTTTGAATTGCTTTTGCCTTAGTATTGATGTGTTGTGTGTGTGTGTGTGTGTGTGTGTGTAGGTGGGTGGCTCATAGCCCAGTAATGCTTCCAAAGTTACAAAAAATGATATCTAGGCCCCCATAACCTGAGATTTCGATGAAATAGACCTAGGGTGGAGCCTAGGAATTTGCTTATTTAAAATTTTTGTTGAGATCTAACATGGTCAAAAATGTAGACATAACATACATACATGAATGAAGATTACAGTGAAACCAACACTTATGTTCTCACCACAGAGTTTAACAATTCCAGTGACATTAGTCCCTTTGCAGCCACTTCTGTTTCCTACTTGGGTCATGCATTTCTCTCTCCTCAGAGGAAACCACTGTTCTATATTATGTGTTAATAATTAATCTGCTTTTCTTTATGGCTTCTTCACTTAAATAGAATAGCCCCAGACCACATATTGATTAGGTTTTCATGTTTGCAATCCCTTATACAAATGAACTCATACTATTGTTCTGTGATTTGTCCATATTGGGTACATGTAACCTTGATTTATTTGTTCTAGTTCTGTATTGAATCCATTGCATGAAGGTACTACAATTTATCTCTTCTGTTATTAGACATTTGGGTTGTTTCCAGGTTTTTACTTTTATCAATAACACTTCTGTAAGCATTTTTTTCCCTCATGTCTCTTGCTGCACATGGCCAAGAGTTTCTTAGAACATATGGCTAAGGGTGGAACTGTGGGGTGATAGCGTCAGAACATCTTCCATTTCATTAAGTAATGCCAATCCATCTTCCGAAGTAGTTGTACCAGTTTATGCTCTCCTGCTAGTGATGTATTAGTGTTCCTCACTGTGACTCTGTAACCTCACCAATACCTGGTATTGTCACACTTGGTCATTTGGGTCCGTCTGGCAAATGAAATTCAGTAACTCATTGCAGCTTCAAGGTCCTTAGGAGTTGTTTTATTTCATTTTTGTAAGTTTTTTAGATTATTCTGAGTCACATTTAGCCTTGCTACACTGTTGACATGGACTCTTTCAGATTTGTTTCCATTTACCATACCCCTAGGGATATCTCTGAATTCTAGTACCCAACCTATAGAAATATGTATGTGTTTTTGAACCTTACAAATTAAAAAAAAAATTGTACTCTAGGGATTCAGTTGTGATCCCAGTTCAGTGAGATCGAGAGAGGGACAAGTGACAGTTGCCTTCTTTCTGAATTCCATAGACTTTGAGGAATTAGACACTATAACTTTGAAAGTTGGCGCTTTTAAAAAAATTTAAAATAATAACAATGCATTTTGGATCACCACTCTTTAACATATTTATCTTTTCCTATCTGCCATTTTGTGAAATCTGGCATTGTGTTGCACTGGGTACTGTGAGAAAAGAAATACTAAGGGAAGAAAAAGGAAAAAATGCTCATTTCTCAAATGTCCTTGAATGTGGAAATGTATTGATCTCTTTGCATTTTTATGAAGCTGGGTCCCAAGGCTCCATATATGCCCTGAATGCAAACCTTTTCCCATTAGATGAGTCAGTCTGGATTGGAATATCCATTTTTAGGTAAATATTGTCAACTTACATATCTCTGAAGTTGTTGCTCTTAGCATCACTAAGGGCAGTGGTTTGATCAAACAGCAAAAACCCCTGTGGATATACCAGCTGCTTTATCAAGATCTTTGTGAGACAGTACATCCAATCATAACTTTTGGGAGTCCCCCACCATCGGAAACTGTGCTTTTTTCTCTTGCATCTGATCAAGAGATCTGTACTCACAGAACTCAGATCAGTAACAGAAATAAGGGGACCAGCCTTTCCGCCATGATTGGGACTTCTGCTGCGGCGACCCTGAGAGCTGTTCAGAACTTTGAGTAGGGGTGGACATTGTAGTACAGCAGATAAAGCCACTGCCTGTGATACAGGCATCCCCTGTGGGTGCCAGTTCATGTCCTGGCTGCTCCATTTCTGATCCAGCTCCTTCCTTGCTAATGGCCTGAGAAAAGCAGCAGAAGAAGGTCCAAGTGTTTGTGCCTTTGCCACCTATGTGGCAGACCTGGATGAAGCTCCTGGCTCCTAGTTTCATTTGGCCCAGTGCTGTGGTGACCATCTAGACCATCTGGCGAGTGAACCAGCAGATGTGTGTGCGTGTGTGTGTGTGTGTGTGTGTGTGTATCTCCGTCTTTCCCTCTCTATAACTGTAACTTTCAAAATAAATAAATCTTAAGAAAAATAATTTCTGGTAATGACTTCTCATCACTTTTTGAGTCATTTATTGCATCACTTTGTTCCCTGAAGTAGGGTTTTTCCTCAAGTAGCAGGCTGATGTAATACTGTCCCTTGATCTTTAGGGAAGAAGATAAAGATGTGGCAAGGGAAAATGGCATGCCCACACTGCACAGTAGCAAAGCAAGAGTGTACACTCCAGTCCCTCTTCCAGATCATTACAGGCTCAGTTTCTCTGTCACTTTGGCAAAAAGGATGCTGGTGGTGCAGCTATGAACCAGTGCTAAGGTGCCTTTTAAGACAATATAGGCACTGTTTCCCACCCCCCCTCCCCCGCAAACTCAACATTAATTGGTTGGATGGTATTTAGACTCTATTGCAATATTTCTTGTCAGGGGATATAGAAGGGCCAGAAAAAAGTCAGAAAGATAATACCAATCACAAGTAATGAACTATAGGCATATAAATTCTGAATGATTTTAATTTATGGTCCCTGTAGCTGAGAATAATAAGAGAGACAATTCAGAGCAGCAAGATAATAAAAAGTGATCATTTTGATGTAACACAACATTATAAATTAATAAAATCTTGAGAAATCCTCAGGTTGAGGCATTCTGTGACTTTTTAAGAAGTGCCAGGGGCATGTTTGCTGTCTGCTACTTCCGATCCTTTGGAATGTAGTCAAAAGAACACATTTTTCTTCTCCAGCAAGACAGGAATTTGACCTCTAGCATGAACTCAAGCTTAAAAATGGAAAACAAATTGTCAGTTATTCCCAAAAGACCCCTCCCCTACCCTGACACTTAAGTATACACTGGAAGATTGAGCAGCTTTACAGTTTTCCTGTACAACTTAACCCTCTTCTAGGACAAGCCTTCACTTTATTTTATTGGAAGGCTTGGATGAACACTGTTCCAGAGAGTTTCTGTTCATCAAGATGACTTGGTTTTTAAAATATTGAGAAACACTGCCCTGGAGTCCAAGAATGAATAAAGATGCTTCCAAACTTGTCTAGATTATTGCAGCAACAGAATGGGGTTATGTAACCTCTCAGTCCACTCCTTTTGAACACTTGTGTGTTTCTTGTGGCTGCTGTAACAAATTTATACCACCCGGATGGCTTAAAACAGTAGAAATTTATTCTCTCCAAGTTCTGGAAGTAACTAGTATGAAATCAATGTGTCAGTATTGTTGACATCTTCTGGAAGCTTTGAAGTAAAATACATGCCATGTTTCTCCTTCTTCTGGGAGTTGCCCATAATCCTTGCATTTCTTGTTTTCAGATGTATCTCTCAAGTGTCTTCCTCTAAGATCATACAACATTTTCTTTGTGTCTCTGCTTCAAATCTGTTTGTCATCATCATCATCATTATTGAGAGAGAAAGAACCCATCAGGTAGGGCATCCATCCATTGGCTCACTCCTCAAATGCCTGCAACAGCCCAGGCCAAAGCCAGGGCC